GTCACCATGGTCATCTGACTGACTTTTTGAACATGACTCAAAAGAGCTTGTGTGTGTTTCTCTCACAGGTGGATTTGCCATCGTGTTTCTGGTGAGGACAAGCAATGGGATGAAATGTGCCTTGAAACGCATGTTTGTCAACAATGAGCATGATCTCCAGGTGTGCAAGAGAGAAATCCAGATAATGGTAAGGCTGTCCCCTGGACTTGCGACTATTTCAAATTGAGGCAGAGATTGTGCCCTCTCATAAGAAAGCCATGGGGGGCTTGTTCCCTTCCCTGAGATGGCAGAGAGACCTCTGGGCAAGATGGGACTGAGCAGCCATGGGATACAAGACACTGCTCCTGTCTGGTCACCTTCAGTGGGAGGGTGGAGGAGAAAGGAGTATATTGAGAGAACTGACCAGTCTCTAGGGTGGAGAAATAGTTTTGAGAATTGGGAAAAGCTTTCTTAACTTGGTTCCCCAAAATTAACTGTGGCATTTAATCTGGAAAGCCTAGTTTATAATGAGCTTCCTCTTCTGGTCTTGTCTCTGTCAGTTACCAATCCCCAGTCCCAGTTTTTAACCCTCCTGAGCTCTTTAATAATTCTGTGAACGTATCCTTACCCGACTTTATATTTTTACATGTAGTTCTTTCCACCTGGAATGCTTTCCCCCTTTTTTGGCCCAGAAACCTAGGCCAAAATCTAGAAAACTCATAAATACTCTGTGATTCCATTTGTACAAGTCCAAGAACAGGCAAAATTGATCCTTGGGGATAGAAATCAGAAAGTGGTTATCCGGGTGTGGGAAACTGACTAGAAGGGGTAATAGGGGAACTTTCTAAGCCATGGAAATGTTCTATGTGCTGTTTTGGGTAGTGGTTGCACAGGGGTGTACAATTGTCAAAACTCAATTGAACACCTTAAGATCTGTGCATTTTCTTATATGTTAATTGTACCTTAATTTTCAAAAACTTACTCATTTTTCAAGATTCACATTTATATTATGTTTCTAAAGAAAGAGTCCCTATGTGTTAGGTATACCTGTCGAAATAATGTATTCAGGAGATAATATGATGTCTTGAGAACAGTAAGTGGGTTTAGAAGGGAAACAAGATTGGCCAACAGTTGGTGATGATCAAAGCAGCAAAGTGTATGGGAGTTTATTTCTAAGTGTGTACATATTTCTATTTTCACATCTGTTGGGTGAAATTCTCTTGGATGAAATAGGAGTGGAATTACTGGGTCATATGGTAACTCTACTTTTTGAGGAATTGCCAGATGGTTTTGGCAGCTGTATCATTTTAAACTCCCACCAGTAATATGTGAGGGTTCTAATTTTCACATCTTTGCCAACATTTATTATTATTTATGTTGTCGATTATACCCATCCTAGTGGGTGTGAAGTGGTATCTCATTGTGGTTTTGATTTGAATTTTCCTAGTGATTGATGATGTTGAGCATCTATTCATGTGCTTATCGGCCATATTGGTATGTTCTTTAGAAAAATGTCTATTTGGATCCTTTGCCAATTTTTACATTGGTGTTTTTTGTCTTTTGTTGTTGAATTGTAAGAGTTCTTTACATATTATGGATAATAAATCCTTATCAGATATATGATTTGTAAATATTTTCTTTCATTTTATATGCTATCTTTTGACTTTTGTAGTAGTGTTGTTTGAAACACAAGTTTTTAATTTTGATGAAGTACGATTTATTTACTTTTTCCTTGATTGCCTGTGCCTTTGTGTCATATCTAAGAACCCACTGCTTTATCCAAAATCATGAAGATTTGCACATAAATTTTCTTTGAAGAATTTTTAGGTCTTTGATCCATTTTTAGTTAATTTTTGTATACAGTGTGAGGTAGGGATCCAAATTCATTTTTTGCATGTGGATATCCGCTTGTCTCAGCACCACTTTTTGAAAAGATCATTCTTTGCCCATTGAGTTGTCTTGACACCCTTACCAAAAATCAGTTTATTATAAAAGTATGGATGCTACTAAAAGGATCTTGTACCAGAATATAAATCAATGAACTACTTCCCTCACAGGTAAAATATAGCTAGGGAGAAAAAAATACTAGCTTAGTGATTTGATTGATTTGTGTCCTGCAGCAAGTTTCTTACGTCCTTACAGACTGGTAACAGTTTATTAATCAGAAGATGTTTGTGGACCACACTTTGAATGCCAGTGCTCTAGATCCTTGCTACTTTAAGTCCCACTGACCAGCAGCATAAGTACACACCTATTAGAAACTTAGAACCTCAGGCCCTATCCCAGGCCTACTGGATTAGAATCTGCTTGTTTACAGGATCCCCAGGTGATTGATATGCATATTAAAGTTTGATCGCATTGCTTAGAATGAGACCCTAAATGACTTTTAAGGATCTATTCAGTAAGTACGGGATTAATTAACAAGTAAGACTTGGGAAAGGGAGAATAAAGATGGGTATAGGGAAGAGAAAAATATCTGAAACTCTTATGTAGCAAAAGTCCAAAAGGTTCTCCGATAGAACTCCAGGGCTAACCTAGATCTCAAAGTGCTTTTCGTTTTCCTACTGCACTGGGCTTGATAGTTCCGTTTGCCGTGAATAACTCCTCTTGAAGAGAGTTATAAAGGAAATTTAGGGTTACAGGGAGAAAAGGAGAAGGAAATAGAAAAGCAGAAGACAACATTTACAACACAGCCTTGGGAGAAATAATCTAATTCCAGGCCTTAGAACTGCTTTCCTTCATCTTTTAAGTTAAGAAGCTGAAATTGCTTAAGAGAGTCTGTGGAAGCATGGTGTGATTCCAGAAGTAGGCAGCAGTGGTGCTGAGTCATAAAATCTGAAAATTGTTGAACATTTGAATGGAGGGTCAAAGCAGGTAAAGATACATTTTCACAAACTAACTGTCTGCAAATGCAAGCACTATTAGCATCAGGAATTTGCATGCTGAAATTCTAAAGGAAGGGTGGCCTTCCTTGGGAAATTCATTATATACAATGCTCATTTTTATTATTTGGAGGTTAGTAACATGTTATCGATATGCTATTTTAGAATGCTATCTCTGTTTTCTTGAATGTATATATGAAGGTTTTCATGGATATACTTAGGAATTGAGTCCTCAGTTTTTTCATAAGTCCTTAAGGTTCTTAACTAGGAATTCTCTTTCACAGGAATTTTGAGACTAAGGATAGTATATTGTTCTGTGCTACAAGTACCATTAATTAGAACCCCAGATAAACTTAGAATTTATGATAATCTATAGGATATGGGTCGAAGGCCTGGTTTTCAACAATGGAAGCTTTTTCATGCGTTTATGAAAAAGGCTTTTCAGTGCTTCAAGCAGTTGAATATGAAAGTTAATAAGCTAACTGCAAACCATTTAAAGCATCTATTTAATAAAGCAGATCTTCTGACATTAATAAAGTTTAATGTTAGTTTAAAAATAAGAT